CTCTCCACTACCCCAGGCCAACGCCACCATGACAAACTATCTAATGGGCAATCCATCTAACGTCTATCAACCTACCGATGGCACACAGCCGGTAATAATAATAATGAATCAACGATCATATTTGCCACTGGAAGAAAAAATAAACCCTAACCTCAACCTCTTAACCCTATAGTTTCGCATAGCCAGACTCTGCATCCACATGCTCAGTGGCACATGGTCACACATTTGCCAAATTAAAATTCACCAAAATTTAGCAATTTGCCAAAATCTAGTCCCTCCAAAATTTCCTGCTGTATGGTATTGTTGTAAGATTAAGCTTCCTTGAATCAATTCAAACATGTAATAAACTAAAAAACTCTCTTCTTTTTTCTTTTTTTTAGCCTGCTTATCCTTTCCCTCTCTTTCTCTTTTTAGCCTCAACTTCCACAGCCCTCCTCTGCTAGCATGGACCAAGAGACGAAGAGGAAACTCATCCAACAGCAACTAGTACTCCTCCTTCATGCTCATCGCTGTCAGCAGAGGGAGAGAGAGCAGCAGGCTCACAGTGGGTTCAGACCCTGTGCTCTGCCACACTGTAGGACAATGAAGAATGTTCTTAATCACATGACAGAGTGTCAAGCAGGGAGAGACTGCCAATGTAAGGATCAAAGTACATGCACACCACATTTTCATTTTGATGAGTGCTTAACTTTGTAAATTCTTTTGTAATAAAGTCTCACTAAATATGGAAACAGTGCCCTCAAAGTTTCCTGCTACCATATTTATTTTGCCATGGAATTGTATTTATAAAACAATAATTTAATACTGCATAAGTGCATAAAACAGAATTTTCAAGGGCTGTAAATTTTGCAGAATTAAAATAAATTTAATTTGGTGGCTAAAATTGCAAAAGTTATGTCCCTTTGTTACATAATCATGTGGCTTATCCTCCCTCTCTCCTCTCTCTAGTTCCTCATTGTGCTTCTTCAAGACAGATCATTTATCACTGGAAGAACTGCAACCAGCAAGAGTGTCCTGTATGCCTTCCTCTTAAGAAAAAGACTACTACACTTGATCAGCTTAAAGAAAAATTTCAAATTAACCCAATACCTCCTAACCAGTGTGTATAATACTTGTGCTGTTTCTCTCACTGTTTTTCATTTATTTTTTGCCTTTTTAGTGTTAGAGCATGGCATGCTGAAGTTAGTTTAGACCTAAGGAATCGCCTTATTAAAAAAATGTAAGCTATAATTACTTTAATACACAAGGCCGCACCAATTTAAATTTCATTAAAATTTTAAATTATCGCAAAATGCACGTAAATTGATGCTTAATTGTGTATAGTGGCCAGTGTATGGACAATTATTAATCACTGATGTGGGTGTGTGTGGGTGGAATTTGAATGGCCTAATCCTCTCCTCTTTTTCCCTTTATTGCTCTTTCTCTCTTTAGAGTTGAAACAATATATCCAGTTCCTAATCCAAACAGTATGCATGATAGTAGAGTGAAGAGCCTATTCCAGTTTGCAGTGAAAGTTGAGAATATGATGTTTGAGAATGCAAGCAGTAGGGTGAGTTTAATTGAGGGGTGTGGCTAGTTTTAATTGAGGGGTGTGGCCAATTTTAATTGAAGGTGTTTTTTGTTGTCTTGTAGGAGGATTATTATCAGAAACTAGCA